GGCCCTGCTCTGTGAGTGACAGGGGGCAGCGCCCCAACCCCCTGATCGGCCCTGCTCTGTGCATGACAGGGGGTGGCACCGCAACCTCCCCATCGACCCTGCCTTGAGTGTGACAGGGGGCGGTGCCCCAACCCCCCAATCGGCCCTACCCTGAACGTGACTAGGGGTGGCATCGCAACCTCCCGATCCGCCCTGCTATGTGCATGACAGGGGGTTGCGCCCCAACTCCCTAATCAGCCCTGCTCTGAGCCTGACCTGGGGCTGCACTTAGGGATTGGGCCTGCCCTCTGCCACCTGGGAGCAGGCCTAAGCCAGCAGGTTGTTTTCTCCCGAGGGGTCCCAGACTGTGAGAGGGCACAGGCCGGGCTGAGGGCCCCCTCCCCCCTGAGTGCACAAATTTTTGTGCACCGGGCCTCTAGTTAACATATAAAAACAAAGCAATCTACAGATTCAATGCAATCCCCATTAAATACCAACAGCATATTTCAAAGATCTAGAACAAACTCTCCAAAAATTCATATGGAATAAAAAGACCCCGAATAGCCACAGCAATCCTGAGAAAGAAGAACAAAGTAGGAGGGATCACAATAGCAGATATCAAGCTATATTACAAAGCCACTGTTCTCAAAACTGCCTGGTACTGGCACAAGAACAGACATATAGACCAGTGGAACAGAGCAGAGAACCCAGAAATCGACACAAGCCATTATGCTCAATTAATATTTGACAAAGGAGGCAAGAGCATAGAATGGAGTCAAGATAGCCTCTTCAATAAACAGTGCTGGGAAATTTGGTCAGATAAATGCAAATAAATGAAAGTAGATCACCAACTTACACCATACACAAAAGCAAACTCAAAATGGAGGATAAAGGACTTAAATGTAAGACTGGAAACCATAAAAATCCTACAAGACTCCATAGGCAGAAAAATAGCAGACATATGTAGTAGCAATATCTTTACCGACACAGCTCCTAGGGCAATGGAGATTAAGAAGAAAATAAACAAATAGGACTACATCCAAGTAAAAAGCTTCTGCACAGCAAAAGAAACGGTCAACAAAACAAGAAAGCCCACTGCATGAGAGTACATATTTATCAACGTTATTTCCGATAAGGGTTTGATCTCCAAAATTTACCGAGAACTCATACAACTTAACCAAAGGAAGATAAATGATCCAATCAAAAAATGGGCAAAGATTCTAAATAGACACTTTTCAAAAGAGGACATTCAGAAAGCCAAGAGACACATGAAAACATGCTCAAAGTCACTAATTATCCGAGAGATGCAAATCAAAACAACAATGAGGTACCACCAAAAAAGGTACCACCTCACACCTATCAGAATGGCTATCATCAACAAATCCACAAACGACAAGTGCTGGAGAGGATGTGGAGAAAAAGGAACGCTCCTGCACTGCTGGTGGGAATGCAGCCACTGTGGAAGACAGTATGGAGTTTCCTCAGAAAGTTAAAAATGAAACTGCCATTTGACCCAGTAATTCCACTTCTAGGACTATATCCCAAGAAGCCAGAAACACCATTCAGAAAAGATATATGCACCCCTATGTTCATAGCAGCACAATTTACAATAGCTAAGATTTGGAAACAGCCCAAGTGCCCATCAGCAGATGAGTAGATTGAAAAACTGTGATACATCTACACAATGGAATACTATGCTGCTATAAAAAAGAAGGAACTTTTACTAGTACCATTTGCAACAGCATGGATGGAACTGGAGAGCATTATGCTAAGCAAAATAAGCCAGTCAGAGAAAGATAAATATCACATGATCTTACTCATTGAGTGTGGGATATAATGATCAACATAATTTGATGAACAAGAATAGATCCAGAGACAAATGGTAGGGGGTTGGGGGGTGGGGTTAGAGAGCAACCAAAGGACTTGTATGCATGCATATTAGCATAACCAATAGACACAGGCACTGGGGCGGTGGGGGCTTGCCCAAGGTGGGAATGGCTGGGGGAGGGGTTAATTGGGGAAAAGAAGACATATGTAAAACTTTAGACAATAAAAATCTACACTAATAAAAGACAAAGATACTAATTGACTGTACCTTCACTACGCCCTAGCCACGCTCACCAGCCAATCAGAGCAACTATATGCAAATTAACCCATCCAAGATGGCAGCCGGCAGCCACTGAGCTGGAGCAAGCTGAGGCTTGGTTGCCCCCGTGATGGACAAGGCCAAGCTTCCCACCTGCCCTGGCCAGCTGTGGCCTCCATAAAAGGCAACAGAGTTTCAATTATAGAAGCTAAATAAATCCCAGATACATGCTTCCAGCTAGCCTCCACTGGGAACTTGGGTGCCTGGGGGCCGTGGCCAGCTTGCAAACAGCCATCATCCCCTCACCCAGGCTGGCCAGGCACCCCAGTGGGGACCCCCACCCTAAAGGGGGTGTGGCCAGCCTGAAAACAGCCATCATCCCCTCACCCAGGCTGGCC